AGCTGGACGTGCCGCCTCCCTCCGGAGTGGCCGCCCCAAGCACCTGCTTGCTAAGCTGGTGCCTGGAGCCGGCCCTGACCACGGTTTCCTCTTTCAGAGGGTTACATTAGCACATGTTAATATTCAGTAGCCGTGCCCCCATTTTGAGTTTGTGTCTCTTTCTTTTAAAAGCTCTGGATCTGAAGACGGACCAGTCCCAGGATCTGTGCCGTCCCACTCATGCCGGTCTTGGTGGGATAGGAGTTTGCAAGACATCTGTGATGCCCTCAGATCTGAGCAAAGGTGAAGAACATGAAAGGTGAGTGCCATGACCTGGCACCCCTGAGAACGTCAGACACAGATACAGGCAGCTGCTGTCATGTAGCTGGGACTCAGGAAGAATTACAGAAGTGTAAGACTGGAAGAGACCTTGAGAGTTCATCTAATCCAGTCCCCTGCACTCAAGGCAGGACTACATAATAACTAGACCATTCCTGACAGGTGTTTGTCTAATCTGCTCTTAAAAATCTCCAATGATGGAGATTCCACAATCTCCCTAAGCAATTTATTCCAGTGTTTAACCACCCTGGCAGTTAGGAAGTTTTTCCTAATGTCCAACCTAAGCTTCCCTTGCTGCAATTTAAGCCCATTGCTTCTTGCCCTATGCTTAGAGGTTAACGAGAACAATTTTTCTCCCTCCTCCTTGTAACAACCTTTACGTACTTGAAAACTGTTATGTCCCCTCTCAGTCTTCTCTTCTCCAGACTAAACAAGCTCAGTTTTTTTCAATCTGCCCTCATAGGTCATGTTTTCTAGACATTTAATAATTTTTGTTGCTCTCCTCTGGACTTTCTCCAATTTGTCCATATCTTTTCTGAAATGTGGCACCCAGAAATGGACAAAGTACTCCAGTTGAGGCCTTATCAGCATGGAGTGGAGCAGAAGAATTACTTCTCATGTCTTGCTTACAACACTCCTGCTAATACATCCCAGAATGATGTTTGGGGTTTTTTTTTGCAACAGCATTACCCTGTTGACTGCTATTTAGCTTGTGATCCACTATAACCCCCAGGTCCTTTTCTGCAGTACTCCTTCCTAGGCAGTCGTTTCCCATTTTGTATGTGTTCAATTGATTGTTCCTGGCTAAGTGGAGTACTTTGCATTTATCCTTATTGAATTTCATCCCATTTACTTCAGAAGAAGTTTAAGCTGAGACAGTGATAGGTCTCTCGCTCTCGCTCTCTCCTTGTCTGCTAGCAGTAAGGGAGGAAGAGAAGCTTCTATCCTCTTTCTTCCTTTGGTGCATTCTTCCTTCCATTTGTCTCCCCACCCCCAGGGTTCCTGGGGACACAGGATTCCTAAAGATCACCACCGTGAATTGTAAGGGCAAATTCGTTCGAATCCTCAACACCTCATTGGACCAAGACGTGGACCTGAGCGGCTTCATCATCCAGCAGTGGATTGGAGGGTACCCGGTGTCCATCTACCGCTTCCCCCCAGACACCATGCTGCCCGCACTGCATCACGTCACGGTAAGCAGCAGGCCCATTTGTGGCATGATGCACTGTCTGCTCAGTGGCTGGAAAGGCGAGAACTGAGCGACTAAGAAAACCAAGGATTCTGGGCCCCATTCCTCCATTACACTACAGCCCCAGCAGACATCTCTGATGGCATAAAGCGCCCTTAAAGGGGTGATAAATGGCCCCTAAGGGTACCTCCTGTGCAGGGCTGGCATAGAGGTGGCACAATGGCTTGTAACAGGGTACTCACCGCTGGAGCGTCTCCTCTGCCCGGTCAGACACTCCCTTCCTTCGCTCACTCATGCTCTCTCTTGTTCGCTAGGAGTCACAGTGCTTCTCCTTGGTGGCTTGGCCTCCAGCCAGCTCCTATACAGTTTTCCCCTGCCAGGGTAACAAAGTCTCACCAGACCAGCAGCCTGGGTACCTTTCTAGGCAGTGCCACTGTCCCAGTGGCTGGTAGGGAAACCCAGCCCCACCCACTACTCTGCTTTCCAGTCCAGGGGCCTACAACCAGCAGCCCAGGTCTGCACCATCTCAACCCTTGCTGCCATTTCCCTGGGTCTCTTCCTACTCCATCCTCCACAGGCTTCCTCCACCACCCCTGTGGGTAAACCCTTTCCCCCAAGATCAGGATCCCAGGGCCCCAGCTCTGTTGTTGTTGTTGTTGTTGTTGTTGTTGTTGTTGTTTTTTTTTTTTTGCCCAGAGAGAGACTACAGCTCCTTCTGCTCTCACTTCCTGGCTTTATACAAGCCCCACCTACTCCTGACCAAATGGGCTTCATCTTCACTTCCGGCTTGTCAGTCAAGCCTGTCTTCCCCCAGGTGCAGCCCGCCAGGTTAATTAGCCCCTTCTGAGCCACCTTAACCCCTTCAGGGGTGTGTGGGGCGAACACCCCATCACATGGCTGTAGACCAGCCCTGCTCCCAGCCCCCAGCATAAGGGGCATGTCAGGGCGCATCAGGGTTGTTGAAAGAGGGGGGCGTGGTGGGGAGAAGATGTGTCTAGAGTGTATTGAGCTATGGCTATTCTTGCATCCCATAGGGGGGCATGAAAAGCAGAGTGTAAATTAGAGCAGCCCTGAAGCTGCTCTAACTTATACCAGGGGCACAGGGGCACTCCCCAGAGTATGAGAAAAGCAAAGTGAGCTTAACGCTACCTTAACACTTCCCCCTCCCCACCCCACACACCTCCCTTCCTGTCCCAGGCAAAGGAGGGAGGGAGGGAGGGAAAGGCGCCCTGCATGCTGCTGCAGGACAGACAAGAGGGCGAGGGCAGGACAAAGGCTGCCTCACTCATTAGGGTTCAGCAAAGGACAGAAGGAACCTCCTCCAGCTGAGTTCTTCAGATCGCAATGTCCCTGGTGCAGTCTCAGTGGTGCCTGACTCAGTGGGAAGGGGAAGCTGGTGAGGGAAGAGACACAAACAACACACAGAGTTTTATACAAGAGTCAGTTACCAGGCTATGCAGCATCTCCCTCCAGGGGTTCCCCCAGCACTCCTGAGGTGGGTGGGGGAGGTGGCAGAGCCCGAGCTGTGGGGGCCCCAGGGCTGTGAAGCTCACTTCTTCAACAGGGTTTTGCCCAGCCCAGCCCTCCCCACTTTTAAAACAACACTTGACACTGTGTGTCTCGCAGAGGCCTTTTCCGGTTTAACACTCTTGGCCCCAGTGCATCAGACCCTGGCCGCTCATCAGTGATGGCACAGCAGCCTGGGAAGCCTCCCGGCCAAATGATGAGGTGGATGGAAAGATATCACCCGCCTGAGCTACAAAGCATAGACATGGGCTACCAGAACAAGGAGTAAAGCAGGCAGCCTCTGGCTAGAGCAGGGGCCTTGGACTCCATTCCCAGCTCCACCACCCGCACGCTGTGTGACCTTGGGCGAGTCATTGCTTGGGGTCTCTCTTTCCCCATCTGTGAAATGGAAACAACCGAACCTACCACTCAGGGGTGTTGTGCGCCTGGGGGCCCACTCCTGCCCCCGAGCTTATGCTGAGGAGAACCTTGCTCTGCAAGCTGCCCTGCTTGCTAAGGTCAGGAAAGTACTTGAAAGCCCTCCGATGATAGGGGATATAGAAACGCCAGGTGCTACTTTAATGGAGAGGGATGTGCTGGCATAAGCGATATGGAGTGAGCTCTGGGAGCTGCACAGACACGATTCCCTTTCCCAGGGGCAGGACATGTTCATCCGATTGTAAGCTCTTTGGGGCAGGGGCTGTCTTTTTGTTCCGCGTTTGTACAGCACCGTGCACAATGGGGCCCTGGTCCACGACTAGAGTTCCTAGGCACTTCTCCAAAACAAATAATCAGCAGTAATAATCTGCCCTGGTTTTTAGGTCTGGGCTGCAGGAGCTGATTGCACCCATAAAAAACCCGCAGACGTGACACTGAGGACCCAGCAGTATTTCAGAACGGGCCCAGAATGCACCACAGTCCTCAGCAATGCAAAGGGCCAGGTGAGTTGCACTTGGGGGATGCCAGGGTGGGAGGGGTGCAGTATTAGTCTGTGCACCTCTCTGGGTCAGGCTCAGCAGTAGTGTGTGACTGATGGCCCCAAGGTGGGCTCACACCATGGGAACCTTACCAGACAGTGTGGGGCTACTAGAGGGCATGCCTGCAGGACGATCTCCCCCCCCACACACATATCTGTGACCCTGTTAATGACCTGCTTGATATGTCAGGGCTGGGTTAATATGTAACGAGTGATTCTTCACAGGCAGCCTGGGCCGTAGGTTAAAACCCAGGCTCCTGACTCTGCTTTCAGGACCTGTGTTCCCCCAAGGCCAGCCCGGGCGGGCGGGATCTCCCCTCTCTTTCCCCCAGTGAGGGGCAAAACGAGCTCAGGGCTTGCTGGGAAGTGTAGTCCCCACGGCAGCCAGGGTCATAGTCTGGGGTCTTGACAAAGCCTGCTGGGAAATGGGACTGGGATGTTAACGGGCTCCTTTCAGACTGGTGCTAGGCATAAGCAGACTAAGCAATTGCCTAGGGCCCCAAGCAGCTCAAGGGGGCCCCCTTTTCACTTGTTTAGTATGTGTTCTTTGTGGGGGCTGCCCCCCCCCAATTATTCCTGCTTAGGGCCCCCAATGGGCTAGCACCACCTCTGGCTCCTTTTGCTCCAGAACAAGGAGAGACTTGGAGGAAGCTTCTGGGACTTCTCCTAGAAGAAAGGGGAAAGTCCCCCTTTTGGGGGGGCTGCTCTTTACTTTGGTGTAACTGGGGCGGCCCTTTCCGTTGGCTAGCCCTGCCACAGTGACCCTTGCCGCCGCCAGTGCAGAAGGCAGGTCCTCGCTGGAGGCACAGCTGGATCACGCTTATCCCACAGCGGTGGTTCCTGTCCCGCGGGGCTGGCTCACACTCCGGGCATTGTGACCTGGTGTGTGGGGTCATGATGGAGGGGTGGCCCAGCCGAGCTCGACCATCGTTCTGTGACCTCATGCACCAGCTCCTAATGCCCAGAGTGGGGAGCCTCTGCCGGGTGGGCTCACTCTCCACTCCCACCCAGGGCCTGCCCTCCGCGCTGGGCTGGGATTAGGGATGGGTCCCATGGGGGAGGGTGGTGCTGCGATATTGGAGCCCGCTCAGCAGCTTAATATAGTGCACCCAGTGAATCAGGAAGCCCCCTGCATAGTCCTGACTGGCAGCGCATTTCAGTCCAAGGTGTCTGTACAACTGGAACATACAGCAAAACAGAGATTGTAAAAGGCAGATGCTGGGACCAGCTGGTGACTGGTGGAGCTCTCGGGGCTGGAGCACAGCATGTCGGTTTCAGCCAGAGCTTTGTCTGCCTGCCATGGAGCTGACTCTGTGCCTAGAGTGACCAGATCACCACACTAAAATATCGGGATACATTGGGGTGCCATCAGCCCCACCCACAGTCCATGCCCGCTCCTCCCAGGCTCCGCCCCCACTCTGCCCCAGCTCCCGCCCCCTCCTCGCTCGGTCCCCCCCCACACCCTTCCTCATCCCCCGGCTGCTGCTGGCTTGCTGTGTCCCTCCTTTGTTCCCCACCCACCGTTCCCCTCCCCCCCTGCTCACTTGCCCACCTGACCCTCAACCCTTCACCCCCTGCCCGCCACTCACCCCTACGGTGCCGACTTCCCCTCTGCCGGGTGGGTGCTCGCCCACCCCCTACCTTTTCCCACCCCTGCACCACCCTTGCCCTGCCCCCAGTCCACCCCCTTCCCTAAGCCCCCCCCCGCCCTGCCTCTTCTCCACCTCCTCCCCTGAGCGTGCCACGTCCCCGCTCCTCTTCCCTCCCTCCTGGAAAGTGCTAAGTGCCGCCAAACAGCTGTTAGGCGGCGGGAAGCGCTGGGTGGGGGGAGAAGCAGGGACGCAGCGCACTGGGGCGAGGTGGGAGAGAAGGAGGCAAGGAGGGGAGAGCTTGGCTGCAATTTTTCCCCATGGGTGCTCCAGCCCCAGAGCACCCACAGGGTCAGCGCCTCCCTCCCACTCGCCTCCTTACCTGAATATCGTGACAAATGGTGTCCCGATCGTACATTGATTGGGACGTGGGACAAAGGGTTAAATATCGGGACAGTCTGGTCACCCTATCTGTGCCCTACAAGCCCCATCACTTCTTCTCCACACAGGAGCAATTGCTTGGTGCTTCTGCGGAAGTGAGGGGAATAAGTGCTCCATAGGGCTGCCTCGGTGACTCTCCCTCATCTGTTGGGCTCACTCGCCGTCCGATGGAATCAGTAATTACAGACAAAGGCCTCTGCAGTCTTGTACAGCAGCTTATTAGCCACTTCCCCTTGTATCCAATTAGTCACATAGGGCATTTTGCATGCGGTAATACTACACATTAAAATTCCCAAGCACATGTGTAACTTACATTTAAAAAGGACAGTGATTTTTCTGTATGTTAAACAAATACCAATTATTCCAAACAGGCTGACTGAGCGTTCACATTAGTGTCAGAGATTATAGCCACTGCTATTGTTGAGGTTGAGACTCATTTACTGGTTAACCGCCCATTTTTCTAAGAACTCTATAATCCACAGGTTGTCTTAGATTGTCTCTAAAATTGCTGGGCAGCGTGGGGAATCTGGAGTAGAGCTGGTCCGAAAAACGCCAGTGGAATCATTTACTGTGGGAGAATACTGTTCTGTCAAAGTCAAAACACTTTGGTTCAGAGAAAAAACGGGACAAAAGCTCCGACAATGTTGAATTGTCCCATTCTGACATTTTCAGATCACAGCATTCTCCACCTACTGCACCTTACACAGAACTACTTGCTTCATCGCAGGTCCCCCAGCCCAGCTGCAGTGGTGCGCCTTGGTGGGCTCCTTTGATGCTCTGTGGACAGGG